TTTCAAATTTGAAACATTGTCTAGCCTGTAAGGTAAAAAAAAATAAAAAAATGAACCAATTAATTCTATTCTATTCTTGAGTATCAAAAATAATCGAATCGTTGAATCGAATCGCCATGATGGGTGGGATTTATACCCCTACTGGATAAGCGTCACATTACTCTCATGGGACATAGTATCACATTATAATGCTTAAGATTTGCTGCCGCGCTGCACAGTGTGAAAGAAGGAGGGAGATGTGAACAAGGCAGTGCATCTACAGCCTGCAAAGTGAGAGATACAGGCGATCAGTTTTTATGGGTAACGAAAGATGTCGATCGACGATCAGCAATCACACGCTTTTGTAATGTGATGGGTTTTTTCAAACACAGCGGTTTGACATAGTATTCATGGCTTAGTCGTTTTACCTCCAGTGTGGATTCTCATGTGTCTTTTTAAGGATGATTTAAGGTTAAAACATTGTCCACAAATATCACAACTGAAAGGTTTCTGTCCCGTGTGGATTATCATATGTCTTTTTAAGTGTTCTTTCTGGCTAACACTTTGCCCACAAAGATCACAACTGAAGGGTTTCTCTCCCGTGTGGATTATCATGTGTCGGTTTAAATGGCCTTTCCAACTAAAACTCTGTCCACATAGATCACAATAGAAAGGTTTCTGTCCTGTGTGGATTAGCATGTGTTGGTTTAAATAGCCTTTCAAACTAAAATTTTGTCCACATAGGTCACAACAGAACGGTTTCTGTCCTGTGTGGCTTGTCGTGTGTTTTTTTAAGTGTTCTTTCTGGCTAAAACTTTGTCCACATAGATCACAGGAGAAAGGTTTCCGACCTGTGTGGATCCTCATGTGTCTGTTTAAATGCGATTTTAGGGAAAAACTTCATCTACATAGATCACAACTGAAAGTTTTCTGTCCTGTGTGGATTCTAATGTGTTGGTTTAACAGGCCCTTCCGACTAAAACTCCGTCCACAAAGATCACAAGTGAAAGGTTTCTGTCCTGTGTGGATTAGCATGTGTTGGTTTAAAATACTTTTAGCAGAAAAGTATTTTCCACAGTCTTTACAGCTGAAACTTAACTTCTTTTGGACATTCCTCTGTGAGTCTGCATTTTTCTTTTTTGTGAAGGGCCTCTCATTATCCAGGGACTGTGAAGACCCCATTTCTGAATTTTTCATGTCTTTTTGAAGACAGCTACTCTGAACAAATTGTTCAGCAAACTCAGAGGAGCCAGACGGATTGTTAGACATGTTTGTCTCTGATTCAGGAACAGTAACCGTCTTCCAGTCATCCTCCATGTCCTTCTTTATCATCACAGAGGCTGATAGGTGTTTGGTCTCAGAGATGGAGAGCTCTGCATCATTTACCTCCTCAGTCTTAAAGGAAATGGAGCCATCTTTATGATCTTGTATCCTCATGGATTCTTCCCTTCCATCATTCTCTACTGGAAGCTCATCTTTAATGTGTTCTTCATAAAGCTGTGAGAGAACAGAGGATTGTTTATCATCCTCACTCTTTATGGGAGCAGCAGTGATTGGAAACTCCATGGCATCAATCTCCTCTTTTGGATGGAGCTGCTTTCCCTTCAGAGTGGTGCAGACCTCCTCCTGTTCCTCCTTTATGTGGTGGGGCTCTGGGTCATGGAGGACAGCACAGGGTGTGTGCTCTTCAGGAGCTTCTTCTTTAACCATCACCAACCTGCTCAACATCTGCAGGAAAACATTAAAACATATTAGAAAGTATTTAGACATTGTGACAGCCTGCTGTTACACTCTGAAGCTGTGTGGTAACTTTTACATTTTTCATTTTCAAAATGAGTTGCACATTTCATATATTTTCATTAGCCTGACTTTAAGTTAACTTTTTGCAGTGCACACATTTAGTTAACTTTATTTGTCAGGTTGTTTTTTTTTTGTAAAGATGCAATTGATTAATTTCTATTTTTCTTTGAGTTGCCAGTTTCCTTGGGATCTGCTGGTGGAGGGCTGCAATGAGCTCCAGCTTTCCTCAATTGTTTGTTGCCGGCTAATCAGCGGGTCAAACCATTTGTAAAGGGAAGGGAAATGTGTTTATCATTTGTTGAAATATTCGTAGTTTGGGTAATTTTGCTAATTGGCTAGATTTAAAAAGTATTTAGTGTCTGGCCAGTATTTATCTGTTTAATTAAGTTTGTTTAGTTTGTTAGTCAGTTATCCCCATTGTGTGTCAACAGCGGTCTGATCAGCCACTATTTAAGTTTCCCTCATGTCCTGTTTGTTAGGTCAGTTTGTGCTTGAGTTCTTTATGTTAAAGCCTGAATTGAATTCTGTTTTGTTGACCTCCGTTTTTGGGCCCAGTTTATAATTTTTTGAAAACTTTTGGAAAAAAGTTTTTTTGAAAAATTTCAGTGGTTTTCTGGCTGGTTTGTGCAAATCCCTCACAAACATCAATCTGGACTGAGTCACTTTTAAATACATTTTGCTGCTTTGATTCAGTGACTACTGTATTTTCTGGAATATAACTTGCACCAGCCAATATATAAAGGAATAACAAACACTAGATAAGTCGCACCGGAATATAAGTCACAAGGATATTTATATGGATTTATTTTTGTGTTTTTTATTAAATAAAAAAAAAAGTG